CATCCACCCGGCGGCTCGGCTCTGCACCCCGGGGGAAGCCCCGCACCCAGGGCGGGTCAACACCCCCTGGAGTCCCCCCGCAAGGGCCCTGCACCCGCCTCCATCCCCACCGGCTCCGTCCCCGCTGCCTTCGGAGCGCAGCACCCCCCGGGCAGCCCCAGGGCTCGCGTCCCGAGAGGGGACTCCGCGGGAAGCGCCGGTCCCCGCCCCGCTCCCGGCACCGGGACACGGCGGGGAGGTCGCTGCCAACCGAGCGAGCCCCAGCCCAGTGGCTCCCACCGCGACGATCGCACCCCGGGACCGGCGCCGTCCCGCAGAGTCCGCACCGCTGCGGCAGCGAGAGAAAGTTCGCCGGGAGTGCGGGGGGGGGGGGGGGCACTTACCGGGCGGTGCGGGACGCGGGGCGATGCGGTGCGGGCGGAGCGGGGCGCGATGCGGTGCGGTACGCGCGGTGCAGGCGGTGCGGGCAGGGCGGTGCGGGGCGGGCGGTGCTGGCGGTCGCTACGATGCGGTCGGTGCTGCCGGTGCGGTCGGTGCGGGGCCGCGGGACCAGCGCGGCGCTGCGGCAGCCCCGGCCCCTCCGGGCTCGCGTGCGGCGGCTCCGCGTAGCTCCGCCCCCCCCCCCCCCGCCACGAGGCCCCGCCCTCCGCGGTGTCCTCGCACCGGTCACTCGGTACCGGTCGCTCGGACACTTCCAGGGGTGTCCAGAGGAGGCCATGGAGATGCTGCGAGGGCTGGAGCAGCTCTGCTCTGGAGCCAGGCTGAGAGAGCTGGGCTGGGGCAGCCTGGACAAGAGAAGGCTCCTGAAGGGGAGACCTGAGAGCAGCTCCAGTGCCTGAAGGGGCTGCAGGAAAGCTGGAGAGGGGCTTGGGACAAGGGATGTAGGGACAGGCCAAGGGGAATGGCTTTAACCTGCCCGAGGGGAGACTGAGATGAGCTCTTAGGCAGAAGCTCTTCCCTGTGAGGGTGCTGAGGCGCTGGCACAGGGTACCCAGAGAAGCTGTGGCTGCCCCATCCCTGGCAGTGTTCAAGGCCAGGTTGGACACAGGGGCTTGGAGCAAGCTGCTCTAGTGGAAGGGGTCCCTGGACACTGGATGAGCTTTGGGGTCCTTTCCAACACAAAGCAGGCTGTGGGTCTATGAAAAAGGGCTGCACCTCCCGGGGAAGGGAGGTGTTGGCAAAAGGCTGTGGGTCACCTTGGGAGCTGCTGCTGTACCTAGGCTGGGTGCTGTAGCCAGGCGCTGTACCCGAGGGATGCTGTGCCTGATGGCTTGGGGTGCAGGTGCACGCGGTGAGGGAAGCAGCAGGTCCTACTGTAGGTCCTGGTGCTGTACACACATGGTGGCCGTACCCACCGTGTCTGGTGCTGTGGGGTCCCTGTGCCCTTTCTCATCCCTCCCGGACCCATGAGTACAGGGCCACGGAGTGAGCATGCACAACATATCCCTGGGAACAAGGAGCCGTGGGTCCCCAAAGCCGGTCCCGCGCTCCCGGTGCAGGATTGCACTCACAGAACTCACCCTTGAACAGGAGCTCAGAGCCGATGGGAAGTGCCCTCTCCTGGCCTTGCATTCGCCACTGCAGCTTGTTACAGCTCAACACCATCCTGTGAGGAACTCATTGCTCCCGGAGCATCTGTCCCCGCTCCAGCATCACTCTTGGGAGTGGAAAACAGCTCTGAGCCACCCTGGGAGGACGGGATCTCCCTTCCCTCCGCTGCTGTTGGCAGCCTCATCCTCCCCTCATGTCCTGCTGTGGGGCAGAGCCCCCTATCACTGCTCCAGGAACAGTCTCACCTCCGTCCCCCTGTGCTGAAGGTGGCATCTGTCACTGTGGCCCTCTCAAAGAGGAGGTGGGGACCCACTCTGGCAAGGTGAAAGGGGCTCAGGGGATCCCACTCACCCTCTGCACACACAGGTACAACCTGCCCCCCACAGGGACCCCCCCATCTTTCAGCATCTCCCAGATCCACCAGGAGCATTTCTGCACCCTCCAGACCCAACAGGAGCACAGAGAAGGGTTCCCCATCCCAAACCCACTCCCAGCATCTCACGAAAGAGCCACGATTTCCACCCAGGAGCGTTTCCAAGCCCCGCACCTGGATTTTGGAGGCCAGCAGTGACTGCACAGGCACAACCATCCCATCCCTCCCCGCTCAGGGCTAGGCCGGACACAGGACCAGGAGCCAGGTGGAACAGGAGACAACTTTATTGAATCCAATGGTGTTAGACAGACGACCGAGAAGAGACATGCCAGTTGGTGCGGGCAGCGTGGGCAGCAGGAGCTGACTTGGTGCAGGGCTGGATTTGTTGCTGTCTTTTGGAATATCCTCAAAGCCTTTTCCTGGCTTCCTTTTAGACTTCTTTGAAAGGTTCTTGGAAGTAAAAAGAAGGAGCGGTGGGTTAAGAGTCCAGATGGTGTTTGTTCCCTATGATTGTTCCCGCAGCTATGTACAACGTGGGGTCGGGTCTCAACATCAGGTAGAAAATGGAGCGAGTTTACAAACGTGGAGGATGCGAGGGGAAAGCAAAGACAGGCGAGAGCAGTAGAAATCTGGACCAAAATCTTAAAGAGAAATTTAAAAAGTGCTATAAAACCCCTGGGCAGGAATACCATGCAGTTAGGAAACACAAACCCCGGTCAGTTACACAGATCATCTAAAACAGGAATTTGTCCTTTTCATCTTTTATTTAATTAAAAAAAGGCTGTTTGTTTTGAATAGAAAAAAGCTAAAATTGTAAGGTTCGGGCCACCGGGCAGCAGCAACTCAAGGGGGCAGGAGGGTGAGGTGCTGGCATCTCCCTGCTCCAGCCCCTCGGGAAGGCTCCTGGTGCACCCAGGGGCCATGGGCACCTTTGGAGGTGGCAGCACCCTCAGGGGCAGCAGGCACCATTGGGAGCAATGGGAGCCCTTGGGCACGTTGGGTACCCTTGGGGCAGCAGGCACCTTGGGGGTGACTGGCTCCTATGGGGGTGACAGGCACCCCTGGGGACAACAGGCACCTTTGGGGCTGGCAGGGGGATGAGTTGGTGCAACCCTTGGATGTGTTCCCCTGGGGACAGAGGGGCTCAGCCCATAGATGGGGCAGCACCGAGGGATGCTCAGTCCCCAACCGCTGCACTGGGGGACACAGGGTGCTCAGTGTGAGGCAGGAGGAATCGACTGGGGCACGGGGCCATTGCCCTCACCCTTCCCTGCCCCTTGGGGATTGCTCCTGTACCACGGCCTCTGGGAAAGATGGGGCAAACCTGCAGGAGAGGGGCTGGGGGAAATCCAGCAGCGCAGCCCCAGGTGAGCCAGTGATGGGGACAGTTTGGTCCATATGGTTGTGGCTTTTCGGAGGTGTCAGGAAATAAAGTGGGGCTCTCCCCTGATGGGACCCTCAGGGCACGGCCCTGCCCAAGCAGGGGGCAGCCCCAAAGGCTTTTCTGCCCCATTCAAAGGCTTTCCATGCCCTTTCTTGCCCCAGGGAGGGCGAGAGGGGCTGGAGGGGAGAGCCGGGTCCTCAGCGCCAGCCTCGAGCGACTGCAGAGCCGGTGCCTCGTACAATCAGAACAGAAGTCAGCACAGCACAGTTATCACAGAGTACAAAAATGAAATCAAACCAAACCGGAGGAGGAAAGAGGCTCAGGGCCGGGCCCCACCAGCTCACGCAGGGCTTTGGGCTCCAGACCTATTTACAGCGAGTCCTTAGCCCAAAGCGGCAACACAAGAGAAGGCGAACAGAGAGCCCAAGCGTCCAAGCCAGCGAGGGGAGAGGACATCCATCCCACCCTGTGCAAGGGGCCGGGAGGCTGCCGGACAGACGGACAAGTGAGCACCACGGGGCGCATGGCGAGGCGCCCCGGCCGAGAGCACCAAGGGCAGAGGTGGCGGCTGCCACCGGCAGCAAGGCCGGGCCGTGGAGGAGATGTTGGGGTTTGGATGGGGTCCGGGGTGAGGGGGGGGGCTGAGGCTGCCCCGTGCCCAGCCTGGCAGGGCACAGGGACAGGATGGGCTTGGAGAACCAGCCCTGGGGTCACCTCTCTCCCCAAAAGGCTCTGCAGGGTGCAGGAGCCCAGCTGGGCAGCAGCAGAGAGGAGCGGGGGGATGCAGAGCTGAGCTGGGCTCAGGGATGGAGGTGCTGGCACAGCAGAGCATCCACTAGAGAGGTGAGCATTGGGTGCTGAAGGCAGCAGCTCCAGCTTAGCCATGCTCAGGCCAGTGCCAGCACCCCTGTCCCATGCCAGCCAAGCCAGCTCTGGGGACAGCCATAGGGCACTGCAGCCAGGGCAGGCTGCAATAGCACCAGCCTGAAAGCCCATGTGCCCCCTTCCCGCATGGCCGGAGATTAAGGCACCACGGCAGCACCGGGGCTGATCCCCTCCGTGCCAGGCGCCTCCTGTGACACTGCACGGCAGGGCCAAGAGGACACGTGGCATCCCCGGAGCATAACATGGGGCACAGAGAGAGCCTGCCAGGGCCTTGGGGGGCCAGGGACCCGAGGGACTGCACCAGCACCACGGGGACAGCAGCCAGGTTGTGACCCCACATGGCTGCCCAGGGAGGGGAGAGCAGCACCTGCTCCATGCCCCAGGTCCCTTGGGGATGGGATGCCCATGGGACCCTGGCCTGGTGGGAGACCCCATCCCCAGGGCCAGACCCTGCCTTGTGCTTTTGGGGAGCGGGGAGGCACCAGGCAAGGGGCTGCTCCGGAAGCATCCCACTGCCCCTGGCTGCCATGTCCCATCTCAGCCAAGCTGTGAGGCCCCGGGAGGTGGGTTCAGGGACTGGAGATTGTCCAGTGAGCACCAGTTTTGTGACAGAGGTGGTTTGAGTAGTGGAACCGGTAGCTGCAAAAGAATACAAAGGGAAAGGGAGCTGCTTACAGGGAAGCGATGGGCACTGAGCCACAGGCTCCGGGCCGGGAGAGCAAAGAACCAGAACAAAAAAAGGGACCAAAGCAAAGTCTGGACTCGGCCAAAGGAAGATGGGACTGGGGGGGGGACAGGGGGAACACCAAATAAAATAACCAGGGTTTATTGGGCTGTCCTGGCCGCGGCGGCGCCATGGGGGGGTGAAACAGGGCACGGATGCGGCGCTTGCCCTTGGGTACCCAGGGCCGGGTGGATGGAGCGGGAGCCCCCCCCCCCTCCTGTCCTGTGGCCGCACGCTGCCCTGCGCCCCAGCTTCAGCTCCCGCGGGGGGCCTGCCCCACACGGAGCCCTCCCTGCGGCTCCCGGCCCCAGAGCCGAGAGCAGGCAAGAGACAGAACAAACCCAATGAGAAACCAGGATCCTCCTGCCCCCGGGCCGGGAGCGGGGATGCGCCTCGCGCCCTCCGGACCCAGCTCCCCCGCGCACCAGCCCCGCGCTCCCGCACACCAAAGGGAAGGGAGAGCAGCCCGGCGGGAGCGGGGGCCGGCACGTCCCGGCCTCACAGAGTCGACTGCAGGTCGGGGTCCACCATGGTCTCACGGTCTGGAGACTCGATGTAGTTGGCGGCTTCCTGGAGCTTCAGCAGCATGGCCATCTGCGGGGACAGGAGCGCCACGGGGGCAAGATGAGCCCTGGGGAAGCCGAGGCCACCTCACCCCCCCTGTGCAAAGCAGCCACCCCAAGATGTGCCTTCAGAGGTGATGGAAAGCCTGGAGATGCTGCAAAATCCCTCCCAGACACCAGGATCTGGCCTTGGGCGCAGCCAGGATGCTCAAGGCAGCGTGGGGAGAAAGGCCCTGCCTTGCTGGCATCACGGGCAGCAGCCTCGCGGGGTGACACACGTGGGCCAGCCCCGGTCTGTGCGTGCGGACACGCCGCCCCATGGAGCACGATGCTGTGCCCATTCACTGGCACACCACAGTGCGCCTCGGTGCACAGCGTGCCTCCATCCCATCCCGCACCCTCTGCCTCTCACAGGAGGGCAAAACGTTCCTGCATCCCCAGATCAGGCTTTTTACACTGAAAAATAACTGGCAAAGCGAAATTCCACCCCGCTCTCTCCCCTCTCCACCAGCCCATGCTGCAGTGCCCGGTGCAGCAGGGCTGTACCATAGAATGGTTGAGTATAAAGGGACCTTAAAGCTCATCCAATTCCAACCCCCTGACACCTTCCATAGAGCAGCTTGCTCCAAGCCCCTGTGTCCAACCTGCCCTTGAACACTGCCAGGGATGGAGCAGCCACAGCTTCTCTGGGCACCCTGTGCCAGCACCTCAGCACCCTCACAGGGAAGTGCTTCTGCCTTAGATCCAACCTGAACTTGCTCTGTTTCAGTTTGAACCCATCACCCCCTGTGCAACCCCTACAGTCCCTGATGAAGAGAACCGAGCGTACCAGAGGGTCCGAGTCCAGGGAGCTGGGTGTCGTGTCCTTGACAGTGCGCTCCTCGGGAGGGGAAACGGTGCTGTGGGGCCCGATGGTGGGGGGGGGCAGGTGGTACAGCTTGGACTGGTCCTGCTGCGCTGACGGCCAGGGCAGGGTGTCCCGCACCCACTCCACGGGGTCCTCCCAGGCTGCCTTCTGCCCATGGACCTGCAGGCAAGGAGCAAGTGGCACCTCAAGACCCCCCCCATCCCCAGGACAGTGCCCTGCTGCAGCCACAGGGCAGGGGCTGACAGAGATGCCACCTCTGCCCAAAACCCCAGTGCCTCCCCTCTCCCTGCACCATCAGACTCCCGCATCAGCATGTCCCCCAGCACATCTGGTTTGCAACCCCACGTGCTCCGAGTACCTTGAGCCCATCTTTTGCTCCCTCCTGCAGGTAAGGGATGATGGAGTTGTTCCACAGGTCGATGAACCAGGTCCGGAAATCCTCAATTCCAATGGGACACGACAGGAAGAAGCAAGGACCTACAGGGAAAATGTGACCTGGGTCCCCTGCTCCAGCCACTGACACCAAGCCTGGCTGCACGGGGTGCCCTGGGGCTCCATCACCTCCTGGAAGCCACATCTGGGCAGCATCTGCCTCACACCCAAGCAAGCTCCAAGGCAAGTTATGGGGCTGCCAAGCTCAATCTACCCCCAAAAAACACGGTGAAGCAACAGGAGACCTGCCTGGGAAAGCACAGCTCCTCCGTGCCCAAGGAAAGGTGCCGATACAGCAGGAGCCATGGGCTCCCATGGGGCAAGGGAGCAAATGCCACCCAGGGAAGAGCGCGCATCACCCACCGGCTGCTGGTGATGTGGGACTGGGGATAGGGGAAGGTTTTGCCCCAGCCCCTGATGCTCCCAGCAGCGCAGGGCAGGAGGTGGCCGGGCCGTACCGATGAGGAAGTCGGAGGTGCTGTGTTTCTCCAGGAAGGTGTGCAAGTGGTACCAGAGCTTGGGCACCCAGTCCAGCACGCGCAGCAGCTCCTCCTTGTTGGCGTTGACATCCGTGTCCGACTCCAGCAGCTTCCGCCGCAGGTAGCGCACCAGGAAGCCGTTGGCCGGCTCCACGTTGTTTGAGAAGGTCAGCATCCTATGGGGAAGACCTGGGTATTCAGGGCTGGGTGCCCGCTCCCGCTGCCCTGCTGCCCATCACCCTCAGGGGACCCCCAGCACCCCCATGCTGCACGTGCCCACAGATGGAATGGCAGGGCCAGACCTGCAGCTCGGTCCTCATCGGGGTCTCCACTCACAAGACGAGCCCCCAGGACTACCCAGGGCCTCTGCCCACCCCAACCCCATAGGGATGGTCCCCGGGGATGTAAGATTCTTACCTGAAGCTGAGATGGAGGCCGTGGTTTGGAGTCATCTTCACAGGCTGGTTGGTGGTCCCAATAATGTAGGGGCTGAGAGAGTGACAGAGAGAGACAGGACCCATGAGGAAAAGCCCCCAGCATCACCCCACCTGTGGCAGGGTTGAACCAAGCCCTGCAGCCAAGACAGCCTCATCTCCATGGTCCAGGTTTCTTCCTGAGAGCAGTAGGCACCATGTACATGCCCAGGAGACTGTGTTGAAGTGGGATGCAGCAGGATGCAGGGGCGCAGTGGGATACAGCAGGATGCAGGGGTGCAGTGGGATGCAGCAGGATGCAGGGGTGCAACAGGATGCACCGGTGCAGTGGGGTGCAGGGATGCAGCGTGATGCAGGGGTGCAGTGGGATGCAACAGGATGCAGGGGTGCAGAGGGATACAGCAGGATGCAGGGATGCAGTGGGATTCAGCAGCATGTAGGGTTGCAGTGGGGTACAGAAGGATGCTGGGGTGCAGTGGGATGCAGGAGTGCAGTGGGATTCAGCAGGATGCAGTGGGATACAGCAGGATGCAAGGATGCAGTGGGATGCAGCAGGATGCAGTGGGATGCAGCAGGATGCAGTGGGATACAGCAGGATGCAAGGATGCAGCAGGATGCAGTGGGATACAGCAGGATGCAAGGATGCAGCAGGATGCAGTGGGATACAGCAGGAGGATGCAGGAGGGCTCTCACCATTTGTGGTACTTGCAGGTGAGTGCGCCATTGACGAGCTCACTGATGGAGCCCGCCTCGCTGAGGTCATCCAGGAGGATCACCAGCGGCACGTCCACCGTGCCCGTCTCCCGGTCGATCTGGTTGGCCAGGTTGGAGAGGTACAGCTGCAGGTCCTGCAACAAAGCGGGCTGGGTGTCACACGCGGGGCCGCGGCACGGGCAGCAGGGACCGCAGCCCCAGCCCTGCCTGCTGCGTGCCCTCACCTTGCAGGACTGCTGGTGCATGTTGAAGGTGCTGACGATGCCCTCGGTGACGTCCCGACCCGAGCGCTCCACCAGGTACTCGGCCAGGCGGTTGGTCAGGTAGGTCTTGCCGGTGCCGCTGGGGCCCGAGAGGATGAGGCGCCGGTGCTTCAGCAGGAGGCTGATGTAATGCTGCATCATGGGCTTGGGGATGAGCGTCTCGAACACCAGGCTGTCCACGCACTTCTCCTTCAAGCCTGCAGGCGGGCGGGGGGGGAGTTGAGGGTCCTGCTCGCATCCCACAGCGCCACAAGGCAGAGGGAAGATAGGACAGGGATGGATGCTCTCCACCATACTGACCCTTGAGCGTCACCACGATGCTGGTCAGGCCCCGGCGGCACAGCGGCAGCTCTGGGGGCTCCGTGTCCAGCACCCGCTTGATGTGGCTGATGCTGTACCCATAGACAGACTCGGTGCTGAGCCCCAGCGTGGAAGCAGGATCCATCTTGGTGATGTAATCCTACAGGGACAAGGACAGGGCTGTCAGGGAGCAAGTGGTGCTCAAGCAGCTCCAGGAGACCCTCGTAAGGACCTGGGCCAGGGAGCATCAGGCATGGTGGAGCAGGGTAAAAGGACGGCTCTCAAAAGGGGTCCTCATGCTCCTACCTTGAAGACCTGGCAGACAGCTTCATCCAGCATCTTCCAGTCCACCTTCCCGCTCACCTTGGTCCAGCCCAGGAAAAATTCCTGCTGCTTGAGGTCCTAGGAGCCAAGACCGAGGTGTGGAGTTAGAGCACCACATCCAGCCCCAGAGAGGCGTTTCTGCCCCTTGTCCCAGGCCACGGCTCCCCACAGAGCCCACACCTACCCCCTTGATGATGTGCTGGGGTGGCATGCGCACCACGATCCGCAGCATCAGCTCGTCCTTCTGGGCGCCGGCGCTGACGGCGTCCATGGGGGACACATCTGGGGGCAGAGCAGTGAGCGCTCGTGGGGAGACCCCCACCACCCTGCTCAGCTGAGCCAAACCCTGCTGCAGCTGACTGCGGTGCCGGCACCACCGCATTCCCATGCACGGCTCCCTCCTCCTCCGGGAGAGCAGCAGCACATTCCCACCCATCCACACGTCTCTGCGGCCTCCCCTGGCTGCCAGCAGCTCTGTCCCCCCCTACCTGAGTCCCCCAGGCTGGGGCTGAAGGCATGGCCAAGGGTGAGACCCAGGGAACGCCGCGGTGAGGAGGAGGCTGATGAGCTCGTGACATGGCCGGGAACGGAGCCTGGCACCGCCGAGGGTCCCGGAGCCACTTTGAGCCGGTCGTTCTCAGCCTTCAGGAGATCCACCTCCAGCTGGGGAGAACCAGGCACAGCACGGCGTGAGGAGCAGCATCCCGGGGCACACAGTGCCCGCAGCCACCCCGGTCCTCCCTGCATGCTCCTCACCTGCATGTTGTGCATGGTCTCCCGGAGCTGCTCCAGCTGGTGGGCTGAGTTGAGGGCTTCCAGGCGGATGTCCGTCAGCTTCATCTCCTTCTCCCACAGCTCCGACCGCAGCTCCGACACCTCCTTCTTCTCGGGCTCGCCCTCCCCATGGGCCTGGAAAAGCCTGGACCAAGAGAGAGACGAGAGTGGTGCACACGTCCAGGGCAGGAGCCTGCAGCCCCTGTGCACAGCCCTGCCCGGCCCCACATACTCCGTTGTGTCGATGCCCATGGAGGAGGATGTGGAGGATTTGATGGAGGGCGAGGCGGTCTCCGTGGAGCCGTGCTGCAGCTTGGGGGAAGAGGGGGCCGAGGAGTCCGGCGTGGCGATCTCCTCGATGTCGGAGTACGACGAGGCTGATTTTGGTCCCTTCTTGATGCTGAAGGCTTTGTTGAAGGAGCTGCGCAGCTATGGGAGACGAAAACGCTTTTGTTAGAGACAGCCCCACAGCACAGCAGCTTTGCAAGTCCTGCCCTGGAACCCCCAACTGCTCAGGACCCACAGACAGCCTGAACTGGGACCAGTAACCCCACATCCATCACCGAGCAGCACCGTGCCCTGTCACTGACCTGGGGAAGGCACCGGCCTAACCCCACTCTGCTGGCAGAGCTGATGGACCGGGGTGCACCTCTGCTTGCACAACGTTCCAGCCCCACAGAGGGGGTCCATGTCCTGGTCAGGCTCCCCCCAGCCCTGCTCCCCACCGTCAGGGTGTTCAGGCACTGCACCAGCACCCTGGTCCCTCGGGAAGGGCCGGCTCCATCCTCACATTCACACAACCATCCCAGCAAGGGGTGTTTATAGGGACACCCCCCCTGCACCAGCCACTGCAGAGCTGGGGTCCTGATGCAAGGGGACAACTTCAGGCCCACAGCACCCCCGTCTGCCCTCAGGGTCCCTCTGGAAGCACAGAGGGGCAGCCAGCCCTCCCCGAGATGTCCCTAGGGTGCTGGCCGGGCATGCAGCATGCACAGAGCACACAGCACAGGGGTGAGCAGCACAGCGAGGGCAGGAGGGTGATGGACACTGCACAGGGGGAGCAGCAGGATGGGCACCCTGGGCTCACACCGTGCCCCTCGGAGGGCCAGGGTCTGCTCCGAGGGGAGGAAGAGAAAGAGGGGGTGAAAACAGTCAGGATGTGGCCCGGTTCCCACAGGCACCAGGCAGGCTGCTCTAGGGTGCACCCAAAAGCAAAGCGATGCATTTCAGAGTGAAAACACAAAACCAGATGGGTGCCAGGCTGTGCTAACAGCAGAACTGGGGAGCACCGGGACCCATGCGGGTCCCCCAGTGAGGATAACCCCACTTGGTGCCAGATCAGGCCAGCCCTGGCAATGCAGAGATGGGCAGCACCACAGGCAGGGCTGCAGAGAGGTCCTGATCCCAAAAGATCCAGCTCCCGGTAGTCAGGAGCGTGCCTGCCCTCCCCAGGCAAGAAGGGGACTGTCCCCATCCCGGGACACATCCCCATCCCAGCCCCAAAGGAAGCAGCCAAGGTGCAGCTGGGTCCCGGGGCAGCCCATGCAGGGGTCAGAGGCAGTGGGATGGATGGGATGCGCGGTGTCAATGAGCACCGTCCCGTGGGATGGAGCGCGGCCCCGGCCGGGCGGTGGCGGGGACGGTGCAGGACTTACCTCATACACCTGGAAAAAAAGGGTTGAGGTCAGCATAGGGGGAGAGAAACAGAACAAAGCGAGACTTAATCACACGTCCAGCTCGGAGCTGCCCGGTGTGGGGTCGGGGCTGCCGGCCCCCCAATAGCCAGAGCCTGCACGGGCACAAGGGGGACATGTGGGAAAGACCAAAGGAGCAGGCATGCGGGGCTGGAGAACTCCAGAGGGGCTGGGGAAGTCCTGGCCAACACATCAAGACACAGATCCACAGATCCAGCACTGTCCCCAGGGGACAGAGGGGACCAACATCACAACGCCAAGGTAGCCAAGAGCAGCCAGTCTGTGGGGCTGATCCCAGCCAGACCCTGCCAAGTGCCATCCCTCCCGCCAGCACCCCATCCAACCCACCCAGCTCTTCTTCTTCTTCTTCTTGGCGTCGGCGTCCTTGCTGCTGCCGATGCTGGAGTGGCTGGTGATGCTGTTGAGGCTGGAGATGCTGTCAGAGGAGTTCTGCCGCTTGATACGCAGCTCTGTGGCCAGCAAGAGAAGCAGGAGAGATGGGGACAGGAGCTATCAGCAAACTGCATGTGCCCCAACACCAGAGCCACCCGCACCCTCCTCCCTGTGCCCCTTCCCTTCTCCCACCCAAACACCTTCTGAGCTCTCAGAGCCTCACCTTTGGGGGTGACATCAGTGCCATTCAGGGCACCCTGGATCACAGCTTGGGCCTCTGAGTTCTTCTTCTTCAGGAAGTCAATGGTCTCCCGCAGGTCCAGCAGCTCCGTGTCCTGGCAGGAGCAGACGGGAGCCATGGAGCACATCCCAACCGCGCAGCACCCACATCAGGGTGCTGGGCAGCGCTGCAGCAGGTCCACCCGAGTCCAGCACCACCCCAGCCCCACGGGCACCCTCCAGCACCACCACTGCCTCCCGATGCCCACGGGGCACCCCACCAAGCACCCACCTTCTCTTCAGCGGTCTCAGCCAAGTGCCGCAGGCGGGATGTCATGCTCACCAGGCTCTGCTCAAAAGCCGCTACCAGGTTGGCCTGGGAGAAGGGGAGAGCAATGGGTGAGCAGCGATGCCCGGTGCAGGGGTAACCACGGCCGGGCCCTGCGCTGGGGACTCACGTTGGCCGAGAGCTGGGACGTCAGCGTGGCCACCTTCTCCTGCGAGGACTCCAGCTCGCGGCGCAGCTTGCGGATTTGCTGCGGGGAAACAGAACGCAGGGGGTGAGGGCCCGGGCGCTGCCCCTCTCGCCCTGCGGCGGGCACGGAGCGGAGCGCGGGCTCACCTCGGACTGCATCTTCTCCTCAGCCTGGCAGCGTGAGAGCAGAGAGAGACAGAGGCAGGCAGTCAGAGGGCAGCAGGCACGCACAGGCTGGGCGCGAAGCAGAGGCATGCACAGAGCCCTCCCCTGCCCGCCCCGGGCCCCCCCCAGCCATGCACGAAGCGCAGCGCAGAGGTGGCTCTTACAGAGGAGTAGGTGGAGGACGCGCTGGAGGCCAGGGACAGCACCGATCCGTGAACTGCAACAGAACAAAACCCGGGTCAGCGTGGCCCTGGCCAGCAGCGTCCCGGGGCTGCGGGTGCAGGACACAGCAGGGTGCAGGGGATGGAGCTCCTGGTGCAGGGGGGGGGGTCTGCAGGGGGCAAGAGGGTACAGGGGACGTGGGAGGGCAGCAGCTCGGCACTGCCCGTGCTGCTGTGAGCTCCCTGGGTCTGCGGTGTGCAGAGCATCCTCCTCCTGCACTCTCCCCTCTCGCTGCTTCGGTGCCCACCTCCCCAGTGCCACAACACCCGGTGCCGACACGGACACCAGGCACCCACAGAGGTCAGGTGCCAGTGCAGGGTCCACCAGGCTGCTGTCCCCTGCTCTGACACTGAGGACAGGATGCATCAACCCACCCGAGATTGCTCCAGCAGCACCAGGAGGAAGGGACAAGGGTGCGGGGAGCCCCAGCATCACCCCGGGAGGCCCCTCTGCCTAGGCAGGGTGCAGCTCACTCTCACCATCGTCCACAGGGTCCCGGAAGGAGCCCGAGCGGATCATGCCCTTGGGCTTGTCAGCCAGGGAGAGGGTGCTGCCCATCTGGGATGTGCTGTACAGCTCGAAGGTGGAGTCGTGGGTAGGGATGCTGTTGGAGCGGGTGATCCGCGGGGTTGCGGTGGCAGTGGGGCTCACTGCAAGGAGAAGGTGGGGAGAGGCAGGGTCAGAGTCGCACCAGGAAACTGGGACTGGGACAGGAAGCAAGGGCTGGGAGCAATCCATGAGAGCTGGGATGCAGAGAGGAAGCAGGGATGGCTGTCCCAAAGCAGGGAAGGGCTGGGGGAAAGCTAAAACACAGATTTACACTGGGAAGACCCGGCCACCACCACCAAGGGCTGAGAAACAAATCCATCGCCCCAGGGCAAAGCAGGCATCACCATGCCAGAGCCCATCACCTGCACATGCAAGAGGGCAGCACCTCATCACACCGCAACCCCAACCCATCTGCCTGGACCCCCCAAACCCTCCAGGAACATATAGGTCCTGGCAACCCCATGCCCTCCTGGGCACCCTCAGAGAAGCTGGGAGCTGTGGCCAGAGCCCTGAGGGTAGATGAGGTGCCCTGAAGCGGAGGTGATGGACACCCCTGGCCCCAACCCTGCACCTCAGTGAGCCAAAAGCACCAGGCGCTGGGTGTTAGGGCTGCTGGGGGGGGGGGTCGAGGAGAAAAGCAGCACCCATCAGCCAGTCCCACATGGGGCGATGGGGATGGGGGATATGGGGAGGGCACTGACCGATGCTGGTGAGCGGCCCCTTCCCAACCAGCGCCATGGGGAGGGATGGGGGCGAGGGCAGCTCCTGCTGATCGTCTGCCTCGGGCAGCCCGCTGCTGATGGCATGGGAATGGCGCCGCTCCTTGGCCTCCTCCTGGGAGTGGAGCTGGTACCTGCAGAGCGGAGCCATGGTGAGGGGGACCAGCACTGCCCTGGCTCCTGCCCGCTGCGGTGCAGCCCCCCGAAACCTCCACATGGGCCCTCCCCAGCACCATCCACAAGTGATACAGGCTCTTTTACCTCAACCCTTTCTTGGGCAGCGTGTTCCTGTCGCGGTTGGCACTGGAAGGGAAGGAAAGAGCAGTGACATCCCTGTGCGGACAAGGCAAGGTGCCACAGGGGCTGAGCTGCGGGGACAGGGAGCTGCTCCCCAGCAATGAGACAGGAAAGGCCTCCGGAGCAGACAGAGGTCATGGCAGGATGGCAGCGAGGGACCCGAGCCCACAGAGGTGCCCTGGCAGCCCCATGCCCTCCCTGCATCCGTACCTGTCCAGATGTGCGAGCCGGGGGCTCCCGCTCCAGCCCAGCTCTCCTGCTTCTTCCTCCTCCTCTGTGCTGGTGGGGGGAGCAGCAGCAGGGGCTGGGGTGGTGGTGCTGCCCCCGGAGAAGGCACTGGGCAGGCTCATGGGCATCTGCAGGGATTCCATGCTGCGGTGCAGGCTGGAGAGCTTGGGGTACATCCTGCCCTCCTTGGGGACGCTGAAGCCGCCCATGAGCTCCAGGCCCTGGGAGAAGCTGGCCGAGTTGATGTTGAGGATGGGTGCAGGACTGGGGCTGAAGCAGGGCGCAAGGTGCCCGCTGCCCGGGTGCAGGTCCTGCAGCTTGGCCGAGTGCGGCGGCGGCAGCTCGCTGGAGGAGGGCAAGTCCAGGCTGTTGGAGTTGACCTTGTCCAGGTTGGCCAACGACGGAGGCTTCACGTAGGTCTTGGCAGCTGCTCTGGAGGGGGAAAACGGGCGAGGAAGCGGGTGAGGCTCTGGTGCTGGGCATGGATGAGCACTTGGGCACAGCCACGCCAGGCACGGGCTGCCCTTAGCGGTGTCAGGGTCATACCTGAGAGGTGTGGGGGGCAGCTCGGCCACCTTGGCCGCGGGTGGGACGTTGCCCTGTGCTTTCGGGGTGCTCTCAGGCGAGCCAACGCTCTTCAGCGTCCCGCACTCGGAGTCAAGCGCCACTGCCTTGGCCTTGGCCTTCTCCTTCTCACGGTCCGTCTGGTTCACGGGTGCTGGGGTGCCACGGCCGGTGCCGACCTTGGACGGCTCCTTGAGCCGTGACACTGAGATGCTGCCCTGCTTGGTGCTCAGCAGGCTGGGATCGATGCTGCTGCTGACCGGGCGGTTGGCACCGCGGCCACCGGTCACACTCATGGAGCTGGACTTGGCCGGCCGGGGCAGGCTGCGGTACTGGATGTTGGACCGAGCGCCGGGGGCCAGGAAGCCGGGCTCGGCTGCGTTGGAGACGTCCAGGCTCGTTTTCCTCCCGCTGACCGGCTTGACGGGGATGCTGGAGCTCTTCTGGATCTTGCCGAGCGTGGCCGAGCCCCCAGCCTGCATGACGGTGGCTGTGCCAGTGGCAGGAGCTGGTTTCTTGTAGCCAAAGGAGCTGGAGGCCGAGGGGCGCGTGAGACCCGAGGGTGGTTTCTTGGCATCAGTAGCGCGGTCACGGCCGGCATCAGAGGAGGAACGCTGCAGGCCTGTGCTCTTCACAGACAGCTTGCTCTTGTCCGTGGCTTTGGTCTCAGGCTTGCCTGCTGGGGACAAAAGCACAGGTTAGAGTCTTAGAAACCTTTGGGAGTGAACTGGGACAGTGGCATCAGTGACACCATCAAGGAGTCAGGGCAGAGGCATAGCCAGGCCCCCCCATGCACCCAGCCAGCCTCCAGCCTGGTGCACGGCCACATTGCAATGGGGCAGGCACAGCCCTGGGCAAGCAGCACTTAGTGTGGAGCCAGACCCACAACCTGCCTGCAGGGATGAGCAACCCTGGACCCTCTCCAGACCCCATCCCTGAGCGCAGCCTCAGGGCACCCCACAGCCAAAGTGCTTGGGGAAGTCCATGAAGGCACCACCCAACCCTCTCCCCATCACTGGAGCTGGACCCTGCCCGACCTGGGCCTCACCTGCTACTTTGAGGGTGCTCTGCGCTGTGTGTGTGATGGGAGATGTCACAGCCACCGGAGGGGTCTTGCCCTTCTTGAGGGAGCCCGGCGTGCCCAGGCTGACGGGCTTCTTCAGCTCCCCACCCTTGGACCCCTCCTCGCCACCCTCCGAGGGCTCCCGCCGCCACTTGGAGGATCCGTGCTCCATCTTGAGGCTGCTGCTGTCGTAGTCCAGCTTCTTGGGCACCTTGTCCTCACCCTCGCAGTACCAGCTCAGCCCGCTCTCGGCCAGAGACCGCTTCTCTGAGTCCGTGCGTAGCTGTGGGCAGAGCGGGGTCAGTCCTGGCACCCACCCGCACCCATCGCCAGGGAGCACCGATGCACCGGACACCCTGTGCCCTGGCACCCACCCGCACCCATCGCCAGGGAGCACCGATGCACCGGGCACCCTGTGCCCTGGCACCCACCCACACCCATTGCCAGGGAGCACCGATGCACTGGACACCCTGTGCCCTGGCACCCACCCGCACCCATCACCAGGGAGCACCGATGCACCGGACACCCTGTGCCCTGGCACCCACCCGCACCCATCACCAGGGAGCACCGATGCACCGGACACCCTGTGCCCTGGCACCCACCCGCACCCATCACCAGGGAGCACCGGTGCACTGGACACCCTGTGCCCTGACACCCACCCGCACCCATTGCCAGGGAGCACCGATGCACCGGGCACCCTGTGCACCCACCCGCACCCATCACCAGGGAGCACCGATGCACCGGACACCCTGTGCCCTGGCACCCTCCATCCTCTCTTTCCCATAGAGGCGGTGTGGGCACCACGCCGGGTCTGGGTACCACAGGAACCTACCGCTATGGCCGAGTTCCTGCGCGAGGCGGTGGGAGTGGAGGGCAAGGAGTTGAGCGAGGAGCTGGCGTTGAACTCCTCGGAGCTGAGGTTGTCAGAGGCATCGCTGAGGCCACTGCTGATGGAGCTGCTCTCGTCCCAGCTGCGAGGGCAGAGCCAGCGTCAGAGCCCCCTGCACGGGATCCCCTGGCACAAACTGGAGCCCCCTCGGCAGGCTCAGCCCGGTGCCCCGCTGGCACACCACACAAGTGAGCCCACATCTCCCCGTTATGGCCCCTGGGGGGTTTGCTGGGGGATGGAGGGTACCTGTGCCCCATGGGACATGCCCATTCCCCAACAGCAGGGCCACAGAGGAGCGGGAGGAGCCCAGCAAACACCAAAGCCGCAGCAGCCGGTGAAGCTTAGTGTCACCCAAGCGATGCTGTGACCCTCCTGAGCTGGGGACAGGACAACGTGGCAGAGGAGAGGGTGCCTGCACGTGCCTCTGCCAACCAGGGTGCCACAGCACAAGCAACAGGCACCACCGCTCCCTCCAGGGTACCATTCGATGACATGGATGATGGTATCCGAACCTTAGGATGGAGCCACACGGGCAGCTCCAGCACCCTCCAACACTCCCATGCATCCTGCTTTTCCCAGACACAGGGGACTGGTGCAAGGCAGGATGGACACAGCCCCTGCATCCCCACAGCAGCTTTTGGGACACAGCCCTGCAGGCACTGCTGCCCAGGCAGGGATTTAATCCCAACCACGCTCCCAGGACATGCTCCTGGGCCACCCAGCTCCAGGCATGTCCCACCATCAACCCCTGTGCTGGGGGTGACTTCTCACCACAACAGAAATCCCACCCCAGAGCACAAAGCAAAGCGCCTCTCCTGAGTCACCATCACCCTTGGAGCAGGAAGCACTGGGAGCAAGGCCAGGCTTCAGGGAGCTGCATCCTGCAGGCACATGGCTGGGACCAGACGTGGTGCTGGGTCTCTCCAGCCTGGTTTTGGGTCCTGGCAGGAGAAACCCCACTCTCCCAGCCTCGCATGGGAAGCTGCTGCTGTCATGAAACAAGGTCAGGAAGGGACCCCAGACCCTTCTCAGCAACCCTATGCCAAGAAGGGTCAACATGGAAGGTCACAGGTAACATCCCAAAAGCACTCGAGCCATGGGGTGAGGCCTGGGGGCTGCTGTGGGGTGTCACTGGCTCCCATGGGACACATGACTGGCACAGAGGGGTCCCCAAAACTGGCACAGCAAGGACAGCCTCAACTCAGCTACTCACAGCACCAACAGCAAGCACAAGCTCTGGAGCACAGCCGACCCCAGCACTCCCACCAGACCCTAACCAGTCCTACTCCATGCTCTCTCTACAAGCCCCATATTACACTGACCGATTCCCACCCCTCCCTGCAGCCGGCACCGCACCAAACCAGCTATGGGCAGCAGCGGGCACACACTGCCTGGCCCAGGAGGGATGCTCCAGAAGGGATGCCCCAGGAGGGATGCTCCAGGAGGGATGCCCCCAGAAGGATGCCCCCGGAGGGATGCTGCAGGAGGGATGCCCCCGGAGGGATGCTGCAGGAGGGATGCCCCCGGAGGGATGCTGCAGGAGGGATGCTCCAGGAGGGACGCCCCCGGAGGGGTGCTCAAGCACAGCGCGACCATGCCACGGCGCTCCCCGACACCCGGAATCCTCCCGCCAGGCGGGTCCCGGCGCGGCCCCGGCGATGCGCACCCGGACCGGGGGAAGCGGGGCCGCTCCGCTCCGCTCCGCTCCCCTCGCAGCCGGGTCCCGGCGCCCAGGGCGCTGCAGGTGCGAGGTGGGGGGGAGCCGCCCCGATGCTGCGGTGCCGGGCGGTGCCGCGCTGCCCGGGTCCCGTCCCGTCCCCCCCCCCCTCGCCGCGGCTCGGCCGAGACAAAGCAGCTCCCGCGGTGTGGAGCCGGGGCGCGGGGCTTTGTCTGCCGGGACCGGGCTGCGCTGCGCGCTCGGTACCTGCTGGCCAGGCGCGGGGCGCGGCGCGCTCTCCCCACCCGCAGCATGGTGCTGCCCGCGGCGGCGCGGCCCCGACAGCGGGAACGGGAACGGGAACGGGAGCGGCGGCGGGACCGCCCCGTGCTGCCCGCGCCTTAAAGCGGCCGCAGCCCCGGACCGGCTCCCCCCGCCCCTGGTGCTGCCCCCGAGCCCCGCCCCGACCCCGCCGGGATGGGCCCGGACCAGGCTCCCTGCGCTCCCCCCTTCCCCTCCCTTGGCCGTGTCCCCTCTACCCAGCTCCAGCGCCCCCAGCCCGCCACCCCTGCCCACGGTGCTCCCCAGCCTCAGCCCAGCACCCGCAGTCCCCAAACCCACCCCCGGGCTTCACAGGCAGCAGCAGTGCCCCCCAGCCCATCCACAGTGCAGCCCCAGTGCCCCACTCCCAGTCCCAGTGCTCCCCAAACCCCCCACCCCAAAAGCACTACCCCGGCTGTGGGTCCCACAGGGGTGTGCTCCTGCCCGGCCCCACGGCGGGCTGCTCGCCGGCTCCCTACGCCTCATTGCTCCCAAAAAGCCCCTTTTTGTCCTTTTTATCTGTGTCAGAGCCAGAGCTGTGCCCCACTGCCGGGATGGGGGCGCGGGGGTCACCTTCACCAGCCCCACCGCGGCAGATAGAGTTAACTGCAGCCTGGGCAAAACAGACCCTGTCCCTGCGGGCTGGGAAATCAGCGGTTCCTTCCTCGAGCCTTCCTCGGCAACGCCTCTTGGCTCCCTCCTCGCTGCCCCGTGCTTGCCCCAGCGAGGCGAGACTCTGCAGCGTGGCACGGCCGGGATGCGACCATCCCCGTGCCTACTGAGCAGCCACTGCCCGCACCCACCGACCCACGGCAGCGGCTCCCGGCCCTCGGCTGGGGCTCACAGTGCGAGACCCCAGGCTGGCAGCCAGCCCTGAGGTGGGGCAAAGGCTCCCCGTCGGTGTGCACCAGCACGACACGTCCAGCATCGTATCCCTGCGGTCCCTTTGCCCTGGCACGACACCGGATTCATCCCCTCCCTCCCCTGCTCCTGGCATGGGGAGCCCAGGGTGGGATGGGGAGCTGGCGTGGCACGGCATGATGGATCCCAGGAAAGGCAGCTTTCAGCCTACCAGAGCCAGCAGAATGGTGGAGATGATGGCAGAGCATCGCTGCTGGCTACAGCAGCTCTCCCCAGGAGCAGCACCAGCAGAGCCCCATGGCAGAGGAGCACCCACAGCTCATTGGGTGCTGCTGGAGCCACCCAGGTCTCCCAGCTTCACCCATCTCACACTGGCACCCACACCTTCCCACCAGCACCGGTCGGGGCTCTCGGCACTCGTGTCCCTGCCAAATCCCCACCATGGATTGAAGCAAACCCCCCACCCCGGGCTGCCCTGGCCCTTTCCTCCTGCTCTGCCTGGTGGCTGCAGGGGCAGGAAATAGGGGCCTTGCACCGGGAGGTTTCCACGCCCCACATCAGTGGGTCACGGGCACCAGGGCAGCTCTGCTGAGGTGCCACCAGTGTCCCCCATGCTGCTCTGGCAGGATCGGTGTGGAAGGCACGGCACAGCGGGGGCTCTGCCCTGCCCCCTTCTCCTCCACTTAATGGGGCAGAAAAACCAATTAGCTCCATAAATCACCATCGGGGGGTTGGGGACACCCTGCAGGCGCGGGCAGGGGGGCTCTGTCCCCCCCACATCCATTTTAGCGCATCACGACACCATGCTCCTGGCCTCCTGGCTCCCTTAGGATCCCCCCTGCACAGCCCCCATGCCCCTGTCACCCGGGGTACCCTGATCCCGGGTGCTTCCTGCCTGCATTTCCTGCACTGGGATCTGGCATCCTTCACTCAGAGGAGCCGGGGGCTGCAGAGACTTTGTAGGTGGGGAAACTGAGGCAGGGAAGAGAGGGGGGGGGTCTGATCCACAGGAGCTCACCCAGCAGGAGAGGATCAGCATCACATCCCAGGAGTCACCCGGCGCCCTATCTCTGCAACGCAGAGGGGTGCCCTGGGGTGTCAAACAGCACCCACAGCATGAGCTCAGCCACAGACCCTGCCACGGCCCTGGCCACCATGAGAGGGAACAACGCGGGGTCACCCCTGATCCCCCCCCCTCCAGCTGCTCCGGGCAGGCTGACACAAGGATGGTCCCGGAGCAGCGCCGGGTGGGGAGCGCTGTGACTCATCCCGCTTGCGAAATCCCTCTTTTCCCCATGTCTGGACACGCCGGTGGCCCCGGACAGCTCGGCCACAGCGGCCGGCACGTGGCTAAAGCAGGACTTGAGCCCACCGGGCGGTGCTGGGGGTCAGATCAGACCCCCCCCCCGGGCACATGGGTCTGCTCCATGTCCACATCCAGCCATGGAGGGCAGCAGCTTCCCAAACCCTGGGTCAGTGCTGGCCCCTCCGAGCCTCCCAGCCCTGAAATCCCCTTCCCAAACGTTCCCCATGTGGCTGTTGCCAGAGCTGGGGCTCAGCGCTGGGCACCTCCAGCCAAACCCCAAAGGAAGAAGCAGCACCGAGGAAGGGTCCTTCAACCCTCCAAGGCCCGGCTGGACACAGGGGCTTGGAGCAAGCTGCTCTAGTGGAAGGGGTCCCTGCCCGCGGCAGGGGTTGGAGCTGGAGGAGCTTTAAGCTCCCTTCAACCCAAACCATTCCATGGTTCAATGGCAGCGGTGCCCAGCAGGGTTATGGGGCCCCTTCCCGAGTCCATCCCCTTTCCCCAGCAGGAGCCCTGCCATTGGGGTGCAGGGCAGCTCCGCATCCCTCCTGTCCCCCCCAGGGCAGGGGCCCCGCGCACACGGCAGGACACGTGCAGGGCCACGGCCGTGCCCCACGGGATGTCCCCGCTGAGGAATGAGCTCACGGGCGGGCCGGGGTCAGGCTGGACCGGCCGCAGGCGAGCGCCAGCACCAATCCTGCTCGGAGCAGGAGAAGGGGGCGGCCGCTCCCCTGGCGCCCGCGGGGAGCTGAGCCAAACATCTGCTGCTCACAGAGCTCAAGGAGCTCCGAGGACGCGGGAGCCAGGCCAGCCGGAGCCAGCCCCACAGCATCCCTCCCGCAGGAACGCTGTTGGCAGCCCCCAGCTCCTCCAGTGCGGTCCCCAGCACCCAGCAGCGGCAGCACCATGGTGGCACAGGATGGTGCCGTGAGCAGGGCAC